TAATTGAGGGAAAAAGACAGTCGGCAAAGTTGACTTGTTTAGTGATGCTTTAGATATTTGGGGAAGGGAAAGATCCGAAAGGATTGAGTCTCAGGAAATACTTCATAGCGGGTTGGGATTTGAGATGGGATGGGATGGATCGGATTGCTAGAGTGTGGAGGAGTACATCAGCCTTCTCACCACACCTTAACAGATGAGGTAAGACATTGAAGGCATTTAGAGCAGTGTCTAAATAGTAAGTGCTCACTAGAATGTAAGTTCCACAAGGGTAGGGTTTACGTCTGTCTTGTTCACTGTCGTATCACCAGTGCCTAGAACACAGTAGATGCTTCAGTAAATGTTTATGGAATGAATAAATCACTGCAACTCTCAAATTCTTTTTAGCTATTTAATTTGTACTGTGAAAATACAGGCAAAGGGCTGGATCTCTCACATTGGTCTGTTAATTCATTTATTATACTAAAGAGTAATTTTTTTTGGCTCTTGTTAAAGCAGTACCTCTATTGTTTATTGCTAGAGATAATCATTATGTGGTAAGAGGAATGTAAGTCAGGTACTAACAACAAAAGAAAAAGGGGGAAAAGAAAACAATGTCGTGATTCTAAAGATAGCCACTCAAAAATAATTCATTTATTCAACAAGTATTTATTGAACTGCAACTGTGCTTGGGGGGTCCATGGGTGAACAAAATTGACAGTTGCTGCCTAAGGGGATATTGACACCGAAACTAGTAATTACAAATGTGATGTGTATAACTTACAGAAGTGCTGGTGCCCTTCTGAACCAAGGCCCTTCTGCCCTTCAACAAGTATATTTAACCTAGTCTGGGACACCAGAGAATGCTTCCCTAAGGAAGTGGTAAGTCCTGATTATTGTTTGCTGTGTGGCAAACTACTCTGAAATTTAGTGTCTGAAAACAATTTATTATCTCTCATGGTTCTGGGCTAACTGGACTCAGCTGGAAGAGTCTCACTTGGGAATCTCTTATGATACTGACTGGGGCTGGAATCATCGGAGAGCTCAACTGGGCTGTCATTCAAGATGGCTTCTTCCCTCACATGTCTGGTGCCTCTGTGCTCTAGCATGTGGTCTGTCCCTCCAGCAGAGTAGCCTGGACTTTCTATATAATCAGCTTAGAGCTCCAAGAGACAGGAAGAGGAAGCCACCAGGCCAGTCAAAGGCTGCACCCCCAATGGGCACAGCCACACTCTACTGATCAAAACATCACAAGCTTTGCCCCGACTCATGGGAGTGGAAAAGGAAACTCACTTCTTGATGGGGAAGTAGCAAGTTCTCATTGCCAAAAAGCACGTGGGATAGGAGATATTGCTGTGGTTCTCTTTAGAGAATACAGGTCTGTCACTTGATGTTAGATTGGACCCTGAAGGATGATTAGGCATTGATGCGATGGGCAAAAGAGTCCAGGAGGGAGTAACCCCTCCAGCGATGGGAACAGCCCGTGGGCAGGGCTGGAGATCAAAATGGTAAACATTGAAGGAGGAACTGAAAGGCCTTTGTGACTAAGTGGAGGAATGAGGGGAGGAAGAGTGGCATGGAAATGCTGGGGCACACAGTGAAGAGTAGAGTATGGTTTTGAAGGGTAAATGCATATTTACATCAGAAAGCAAAGAGAATAGCTGTGTAGGTTCCAGACAGAAGCAATGGAAAGCACTAACAGTGAAATTCCTAGAATAGGAAGAACAGATTAGCCCAGAGGACTTGGGGTGGACTTGGGGGTGGTTCAGGGAAATCTTACCCCAAATTACATAGCTAGCGTGAGACAGAATTAGGATTTGGACCTAGCTCTGACTCTAGATCCACTCCATTGCTTGCTATTTCTCCACTGCATTGCTCACCACACTGCCTATGGAAAGTCATTTTATATAATAAACTTGAAAATCCGTTACTAACCAAAAGGTGATTTACTCTTCCTAATTTCTTCCAAGCCATCCAGGCAAATACCTTCTAAGTTTTCTAGACTCAACTCAGAGGGCACCTCCCTTTAAAGGCCTTCTTAATCTCTCCCTCACCTTTGCTGGCAAGTGACCCCTCCCTCCTTCCCCCACCAAATCTGTTTCCATCATCTATCAAGGCAGTTTTTTGGGCTTATTGTCTTAGGCTCATCATGATAGACTGTGAGCCTCTTTAGGGCAAGGACTGTATCTTATTCATCCTTCCATCTTCAGCATCTTGGACCTGTCATGACCTTAATGGATGGAAGACGAGTGGTTTCCAGAATCCCTTGTTAAACAGCATTGAAATGGTTCTCAAGTTGAATTGTTACTGCCCTTAATGAGGATTAAATGAGGCATTGCATAGGGAAGTGTCCCTGGGACATCTTACTTTCTGTGGGCCTCAGTGTCCCCTCTGTGAAAGTTGGGGTTGAGAGGATGATCTCGAAGGTCCTGTCTTTGTCTAACAGTCTACAATCTTAGAACGCAGTGTGATGGAGTGTTCCACAATCCAGCAGTGCTGGCCGTCAGTTATATGCTCCTAGTCAGCCCGTGAATACCAAAGCAGGGAGCACAAAGAGTATATTCCTAGACATTTTGATTTAAAAAAAAAGAAAGAAAGTATCAGTTTAAAGGTATTTACTCTCTCTAGTATGATTAAAGACTGAATTTTAAGAACTAGGTAAAAAAAGGAACATTCATAATAGAATCTTAGATGAATAACTTAGTGCTCGGCACCTTGGTGCCTCTTCTATAAAATGGGAAACATATTTTATTATGTTCATTTAAAATTTTAGTAAATAAAGAACTAGAAGTTTTAGATTTATTATCTATTTCTTTTTCTTAGCGTCTGGTGTACAAGATAAAACTGAAAAATTCCAAGTTTCAAAATGACAGAGGTAGTGAAACTCTGCTATAGGATTCAGGAGACTCAAGGCTTAGCATAGACACAGCAAACAAAACCATGTCTGCAGCTAGAAAAATATTATAACTGATCTTATCGCCAGAAATCAATCTGTGCCTTTCTTCATGAATGCTAACATAATAAACATGAAAATGTAAAAAGTAGACAAATTCACAGTCATTATCACTTTATAAGAGGTTAGCCACCAAGTTCCTGTGACCTGCATACCTTCTTGATACATTTAAAATAACGGGCTGTATATAGTAGTTTTACTTACACGCATTAAGCAATGTAGATTGGTGCTGTTGATTTAAATGTAATGATTTAGTGACCTAAGTGCTAAAAATTATTTTAATTAACCACAGAAATTTTGCAGTTTTAAAGAAGAAAGCACATTTATGTACCTTTGCAGCAACTTGCAAAGGTGTTGCTAATTGCCTAGTTTTACCTACTTGTAAGTAGTTAAGGAAAACAAAGCTTACCTACTTGTTTTGTTTCTTTGTTCGTTTTTTTGGTAAAGATACAAAGGTGTATGTTGAGCACATGAAGTGTGGCTAGTGTGACTGAGGAACTTTATTTGATTTTTAATCAGTTTAAATTTATTTATTTATTTACTAAATTAAAAAAAATTATTTATTTTATTTATTTATTTTTTTGGCAGTGTTGGGTCTTCGTTGCCGTGCATGGGCTTTCTCTAGTTGCGGCGAGCAGGGGCTACTCTTCATTGAGGTGTGCAGGCTTCTCATTGCAGTAGCTTCTCTTGTTGTGGAGTGTGGGCTCTAAGCGTGCAGGCTTCAGTAGTTGTGGCATGCGGGTTCGGTAGTTGTGGCTCATTGGCTTTGGAGCGCAGGCTCAGTAGTTGTGGTGCACAGACTTAGTTGCTCCACGGCATGTTGGATCTTCCCGGACCAGGGCTCGAACCCGTGTCCCCTGCATTGTCAGGTGGCTTCTTAACCATTGCGCCACCAGGGAAACCCAATAAATTTAAATTTAAATAGCCGTGTATGGCTAGTGTCTACCATATTGGACAGCATCACTGTTCTCGTTTGGCCTGGCCTTGGAGATCTAGCATTTCCCAGACAGTGTGGTGAGTGTTACGATTCTTTCTGCCCAGCCCCAAGGCTGGACCTACTCGATTCTTTCTGCCCAGCCCCAAGGCTGGACCTACTCGTAGGCCAATCCTCAAAGCCTCAGGGAGTTTGGATCCTGAAGCCTTTTTGCGAGATGACTGGAAGAGTTGTGAAGTCCAGAGTCATCATCAGGCATTACATAATCTAAGCTTAGGAAACACAGCACAAAAACATTCAGGTTAATAAAAGGGCCATTCTCCTCTCTACTTCCCCCTTGCACCTTTGAGCCTGACAAACCATCAGTGCTTTCAAGGTTTGTGACAGGACTCATGCATTTATGACTTTCAGACTGATTACGATATAAGTGCAGTCACAGAATTCCTAGTCTCTTTGGCTAACTCTTTTAGGTCAGTATCACAGAGATTTGCCGGGGCAGTCTTTTCACAGCTGCTCGCATAGGCTTCTCTGTATGAGTAAAAGCTGCTGACCTTAATTCCCCTTATCAAGAGTCCCACCCTGCTCTGTGTAAGTTCTAATACAATGTAGTGATGTGTACTCTTTTTTTTTTAAAGATTTTAAATTTTATTTATTTTTTTGACTGCATTGGGTCTTCGTTGCTGCACGCTGGCTTTCTCTAGTTGCGGTGAGCGGGGGCTACTCTTCATTGCGGTGCGCAGGCTTCTCCTTGCGGTGGCTTCTCTTGCTGTGGAGCACAGGCTCTAGGCACATGGGCTTCAGTAGTTGTGGCACGTGGGCTCTGGAGTGCAGTCTCAGTAGTTGTGGCACACGGGCTTAGTTGCTCTACAGCATGTGAGATCTTCCCGGACCAGGGATCGAACCCGTGTCGCCTGCATTGGCAAGTGGATTCTTATCCACTGCACCACCAGGGTAGTCCCAGCGATGTGTACTCTTGACAGTGGAACTTCTCTGTAGGTGTTGTCCACGTTTGGGCATGACTGCCATGGAAGAGATGTAAAGATGAGGGAGTAAGTGGGCAGATTTAGGTATATAGAATACAAAGATATAGAATACAGTGAACTATGTGCCAATGTTGTTCTTTTCATTTTCTTTCAGGAAATTAAAGATGGTGGTGACATTGCCTTGACAAGCACTTCCTGTTGTCTTTACAGAGGTCTCACTGAAGAATAATCTCAAAGGAATGTTTGTCTCCCAGTACCTTTGTTGATGACTGTTATCACCTAGCAGATGTTTTTAATGTCCTGGAAAACATCAACCACCCTTGTGCTTGGCCTGCTCTGGGCAGCTGAATGAAAGTTCCTTCCAGTTGTTTCCAGAACTCTGTTGCCCAAAACTTTACCTCTCTTCGTCGGGTGAATGTTCATGAAGCCCTTTCCTGAACAAGCTTAGGAGGCTTAGGCCTCTTGGAGCCTGTGACATGGAAGCTTTGGAAGTGGATGATATCAGCCCAGCCCTGGAAGTTACTGAGGATTTCTTTAGTACTTTTGATAGTAAGCTAGAAAAGGCTGTGCAGCAAGCAGAGGTTTATGGGATTCAGGAAGTCCCTGAACTGGTGGGGCATGAGGTCCTCAGTAACATAGACAATGGTGCTATCAGAAATGTCTCCTCCCTGGGCAAGGGAGGCATGATCTGGGACCATTGTAAGACCAGGTTCTTAGAAACCAAAGCTCAAAATGTCTTCCCTGCCAAAGAACAGTTTATGGTCCAGAAAGGGACAACCCCAGATAATCTGTCCTGGATGGAACAAAAGGAAGCTTCAACCTTTGATTTTTTCAACATCTGTCAGCGTCGGAGGGACAGACCTCGTTCTGTGAATGACTTATTGGATGAGACTTCTACTTTTAAGCCCGGCCATGCTCGATCAAGGTCAGATATTAGCCAGGTGGACTGGAGGGTGGTCCTCAAAACCATGCCTCTGCAACAGCAGCAACAACCATCTCTTCAGGGCCCTCACTTCACCAGGACGTCTTTTCTGTTGTCCTCATCAAACAAGGTAGAAGATGCTCAAGGAAATATGGGTATGTTTTTATATCTGACTGCAATTAAACAGTTGTTGATTTTCCTTTGTCTCTCTTGCATCTACCTCATGGGAGTCTTACTCTCCACTGTCGATGTCTGGCTTTGCCTACTTAAGGCCCCTCTTCCCTTTACCTTTGCACTTACCTTACCTGAAGTCTACAGTCTTATTCCTCCTAGGAGGAACTGAGGGAAAAGGTGACTATGGTTAATTCTCCTTTCCTAATCTTGTATGTTAGAATCAGAATGTTCTCATGATTAATGTAGTACTTTCCTTTGAACATTGTATGATACCACTTATTCACATTGGTAGATGTTGATCAGCTCATACCTTGGCTATAGTCTTGTGTTATGAAGGATTAAAAGATGTGTGAAGACACAGTCCCTGCCCTAAAGAACTTCTCATTAGGTTCAGGGGATCAGACACTCCCAAAGACTCAGGAAGGCGCCCAGTGGTGAGAGAAAGGAGGTGCTCAACTGAAATGCCTGGGAGGGAACTTTGTTTTGCTTTATATTGTTGGAATTTTTTTTTTTTTTTAAATGAGTGAGTGGCAGCAATTGTCAGAGGATAGAGGAAGGGGAAGACACTCTGGGCTGGGCTTGTCAGGAAGGGCTTGTGAGAGATGATGGAACTTGAACTGGACCTTGAAGGACACTAAGTTGCAGAAAGAGTCACAGTTGGAGGACACTCGGTCAGGATTATGGTGTGGACCAAGGGGGAGACAAGGAGACCAGGCTGACCCTTGAGGAGACCAGAGGATCTCATGGCGGTTGTGGGAGGAAACGTTTAGAGAGGTTGGTTAGGACCTCATGGTGCAGGGCCCTGATTTCTTTTTTCCTTGTACTTTATATACACACACACACACACATGCACATGAATGTGTACTCATGTATTCACCCATGAACTTCCTCTTCTGTGAGACATGACAAACCATGTCTCTGTTTCCCCCAGCAGTTTTCTTCACCATAACCTCATTTATACAGGCTATCCATTTTTCTTACTGATGATTCTTCAGTTACCCTGCTTAACCTCTTAATTTAGATGGCTTCTGCTTAATTAACTGGGGAGACTATTTTATGTACTTACCTGCTACTTTAGCGTTTCTTCAATCTCTATCATTGCTTGCTACTCCATTGATACATTTAACATTGTATTTTATTTACTTATTTTACATTAAATTTTAATTAATAGCATTTAGTTTGTAAGTATAACTCGAGGCAAGGATATGATATAGTATGTCCATTAAGGAAATGCAATCTTCCTGCCTATGAGGTGTTACATTTATTTTCACACCCAGTTCAAATCTATCCTTTTAAAATACTCTTTTTCCCCCCACTCAAATTTATGACTTGTAATTCCTTATCTTCTCTCCTAGACTTTCACCAGTCCTATGGAACATCTAGTCAAATGGTGATCATGGGAGTAAAAAAGAAAAGGACATTATAAAGCACAGGGCTTGGTAACTGGCTAGACATTAGGGGATAAACAGGTTGCTGCGACCTCAGTGCCTGGGAGAATGAGACCTTTGCCTTGGGCTCATGTACAAACAGTTGTACTCATTGATTAGCAAACAACCTCAGTTTTTGTTTGGTTTCTTGGAGTTCACATAGATTTTTTTTTTAATCACTAAACCACTGTAACCATTCTAAATCCCTGGCATAAACCAAGTTACGAGGATGTCGTATTTCCAATTTTGTTTTTTCCAATCTTGTTTGGATTGTAAATGCAAGAACCAGCCTTCCTCATGTTCTCTAAAGGAAGCTAAAGAAGGAACCTTCCTTAGCTTCTCTCTTGAGCATATGACAGACCATGATTATTACTTTTTAATTCTCAATTTAAAAAACTTTTGAGTATTATGTTGAAATATATGTACTGAGTGGTATTTTGAAAGCTAAACTGTAACCAGTGGCCTTTGCAAGTATTGATATAATATAACCTGGCCCCCTTTTGGTCATCCACGGGATACGCATCCTATCTGGAATTAATAAGGTTGGGGAAATGGCCTGCCAAGTGTCTGACACGTGCTCCGTCTGGCATACTCTGGAGACCACGAGAGAGAAATCTTGTTCCTGTTGCTCACTAGGTAAAGGGAAGGGGCAAGCAGGGCCCGTGGGCTGCCCACTCTTGGGCTGGGGGTGGAGAGGAGCTCTAGGTTCATGGCTGGTCACCCACTCTGCCGACTGTAATTCTCACAGCATTTGGGAGAGGTGAGGAAGTGGCAACACCCACGTGCATACTAGTCAAGATCAGCCAGGATCTCTGAGTGAAGTTCACTTTAAAACCTTTGAAAGTAGCCATCCAAACTGAAGAAAGGCTTATCGTCTCTCCTGAAGGCATATGCCAAAAGCAGAGGGAGGCGGTATGGTATCTTGGCCAGAGCTGTAGCTGAGGACCCAGGAGATTGGGGTCAGGCCAGATCTCTCCCTTGAGCTTCAGACTTGCATATCCGGCTCTTTGGTGAACACGTCTGCTGGAGTGTCCCACAGGCACTTGAGATTCGGTGTCCAGACAGGGCCCGTCATCCTCACATCCTCCACTCTAGCTGTTCTGAAAATTAACAAGGGTTAATGATAGGCTAAGGGCTCCTCAGAAGAAATAAAATGTAGTCAAATGGGTCTCCTTTGAGCAGGGCAACTTGGTGTTTTTGTGTGTGTGCATCCCAGGAAGAGCACCTTTACTAAACAACAGGAAACAAAACGTGCCAGGAATCTGACCAGATACACAAAGCAGCAGGTGAGATTCCTGATGGGAAAGAATGACTCCCCATGGAACATAAATAGATCACCTCAAAGTACATATATTTCACACGAGTGTGTACATACATATGTAATATATTAAAAGAAATTTGGTTTCTACCACGAGACGTTACTCAGCAACAATAAATCAACGTCACACCTGAGACAGGGAAGTGCGGGCGCTGCAGCCACGTTGTAAACTGAGGCGCACCTCCATCCCGCACACGCCTCCTCTCTGTGCGCTGTGCACACTTGCTGGCTGGGGGCTTCTCTCTGCCCCTCCCCCCAGGCTCAGCAGATCCAGTGTTTGTAGAATAGCGAGTCAGGGAAGAAAGGTGGCCCGGCAGCCTTGGAGCCCACCCTGCAGAGCCCAGGAGCTGGCTGCAGCGGGGAGGCAAACACCCGAGGCCACCGCCGCCTACCTGGAGGGCCGCCTCGGCTCTGGGGTGAAGGGAAGCGCTTGGGACACCAGCAATGGCATGGCAGTGCACCTGGTTTTCAACAAAGAGTGTGTCTCTGGGGTTCACCCAGGGCCCTCCAGATCTTTGTAGTTTGGCCAGCGGGGGCTTCTCCTAGGATCAAATGGCTTTTGGGAGGGGAGTAGAGTGTCCAGAGTCACCAGGGCTCAGCCCTGTGAGTGTGTGTATGTGCGTGTGCACACGTCTGCATACACATGTGCTTCGGCGGAGGTCAGCAAGTTGCAAACAAGTGTCCTACAGGGGCGCGCTCAAATAGTGTCTGCTTTGGGGTCAGTTTGTCACTGCGTTCTGAGTGTCCCCATGCCAAAGTGGGTTTGTTCAAAAGATGCTAGTTGCTAGAGGCTACAGATACAGAAGACACGTTGCACACTGGGGGGGTGCAACCCTCTCAGGGCGTGGCACAGAGTTTTAGTAAGAAAACAAACAGAAGAAATGCACAGGAACCCTTTCCTCACTGTAAAGCCCTTTCCTGGCACCACAGGCAGACGGGGAAAGGCTATCAGGGTTTGTGTCTAGCCCTGTCACTCTCTTACTTATGGGCTTTATTACTTTGTAGTCTTGTGTTTTCTCCAGTTGATTTTTATGTTTTCTGGATCCTTTTTCTGAGGTCCCCTGAGTAGCTTAAAGACTTAAACCAGGAGCGGTTCTTATCCTCCTCGACTGCTGCTTCCTCCTCTTCTGCCGCCCTCATTCCCTCCCTTTCCTTCCATAATGACAAGCCCAAGGGTCTTCTTCATTAGGCAGGGCCTCTGTGTCTTCTGCCTCGTTTGGCGATGATTAACTAGGCTCGTGAGCCTTACTGAGGTTAAATGATGCTTTGGGTATAAAGCAAACCAGATTTCGGCATATTGAGGGCAGTGGGTAGCTGGGGTAGAGTAGGAGTTGTTTGGCTAATGGGCACGCCTGTCTGAAGAAGGCCTTCTGGTCAGACAAAGTAGCATATTGGTTAAAAAAATGACTATAAACCTAGACTGTTAGAATTTCATTCCTTGTTTCAGTACTTACTAGCTGTGTAACATAGGGCAGGTTTCTTAATCTCTCTGAGCCTTAATTTTTTGGGGGGGGCCCATAAAGTGTGGGATAATAGTAGTACTTACCTCAATATCTTGTGAGCATTAAATGGGTTAAAAGATCTAAAGTGCTTCTGAGAACCATGTTTGGCACACAGTAAACACTTAATAGAGGTCTTAAACATTTAATAATATTATTATTACTATTATAATTGAATTTGGAAGTCATCCATGAGAAGCAAAGTGATACTACCAATCACTCCTAGTTTTCCCTGGCATAGTCAGTTTCATAAAATGGCCTCGTAATAAATATTTCTCGAATTGGCCTTCCTGCATTGTACTTTCTCATAGCTGTTAACTGGTTTGTTAATGGGAAATAAACCATCCATTCCCTCTCTCATACTGATTTGTCATCAACTGTTTACTGGCTTCCACACCAGAGTTTATGGTCACTGAGGAAGGGATTGTTTCTTATGCATTGCATTATCCTCAGTACATAATATAGTGCCCTGAACATAATACATCCTGAAAACATTTTCTTACAGGTGAGATGAATGTATTTCTGATCGAAATCAAGCTGATAAATTAAGAACATTAGTTCTTTAGCTGGTTTATGTCCTTCTAGAAAAAGAACAACTCCACCCTCTTTTCCGAGGGCCTCGCACCATCATCTAGCATCTCATACCTTGCACATCCTCTCTGTGAAGTTCTTTAGCAGCAGGAAATGAAGATTTGCTTTCATCTCAAAGGCTGCTGTGCACTATCCTTGTGATAAGA